TGAATAATATTATATTGTTACTAAATACCAATGTGAACAAAACTCAATCAAATGCATTAAAATTGGTAGCTAGGTTAGAATTGCTATGGCGACGTCAGATGGCAAAAACCAGTATGTACATTCATTAAAACACATAAAAAAATTGAAGATTTTGAATTGCATCCGCCYACACGTAGTACATTGTAACTATTGTTATGCTGGCGACTAGCGCGTGTTTAGGCACTTCAAAAATTCAATAAAATGATTAGCTGTTTGGAGTCAAAGGAATTATCTTCAGGATTTGCGAAATGTTTTCKAAAGCTTGTTAAAATGAATAGCAGAGCACGTTGCTGTCGGAAAATATMAACCAAAAGGGAACAAACAGAATTAATTCCACTTCAAAATAATGAGACAAGCTCGAGGAATACAAATAGTATAAAGACCTACAGTATTTTGCAATTAAAAATGTCTACATTCTGAGAAAAAGTAATAACATTGATGTAAAGCGGACAGAGTAATAAGCGCAGTAAGTAACTAGAAAACATAATATTTATTTTAAGAGAAGGATGATATTGCCAAGAAATATCGGAAAAAAACGTGGGTTTTTTAAGATTGTGTTCCCGTTTGAAGATAAATATCGAATGACAACTATTGGAGCACATTGAGAAGTCGTCATMAATCAGTCGATCAGTTGCCTGTATGGAATCGTCTAAAATGTCTTTCTTTGGTTGTACAATGATTGATTGGATCTAAAAAGCCGCTCAAAACATCGAGAAAAACATAATKAGTTARAAAAGAAAAGAAAATTAAAAGAAAAGAGAAACTTAAACGAAACTGTAGTCTGACTATTTGACTGTTTGAGCGTGATTGTTAAATAAACAAAAAGGAAGAAATGCACTCAGAGCACAGTAAGGAGTATTAGAACATCTATATCATATTATTTGTTATTTATTATTATCATATTATTTCACTCTTATAACGATTTTTGTTACATGCTAAAATCATGAAAATCTTCATGACAATATAATATAATATAATCTTAATGACAAAAGCATTTATCGAGAACTGAGAGAAGATATTATAGAGAATATTTTTCAGAGAGAAGGATACCGGAACTATAGGATTGCGTACTAATCTGTTAATCTCTGTAGTATTTTTACAAATTGTTACCAAGACTTCTTACACAACATATCATGCAAATCGGTTCTTTTTGTAATAAAAATCAAATATTTCTTAATTTTTTCAATATTATTTTTAGACAGGTGATCTTGGAGTCAGTTGAGGAGACTACTCTTTAATGCCTATACAATGATGGCTATAGAGAATTAAGACAAAATCTTATCAAACAAGAGTCAAAATGGCTTCAAGCTGGGAGCCATCTTTGAAAGATAAGTGGAGAAACGATTGGTGACTTACAGAGAGAAAAAGCTAGATGCAAAACCTTTGTATTTATGCATTTTTAGCAGAACGAGACGATGGTATGAGCATTGGGACGCTGTGTGGAATGCTCGRTTGAAGTTCAAAATGGCATCAGAAGGGCGTGTTTTACCTCACTTGAGGAAAATGCACTTCGTTTTACTGGCATTTTGCGTAGGTTCAGTTCCTTCAAATTMAAAACAAAAAAGCAAAACTCTCAAGTGCTTCTAATTAAAACGAAAACAACCTTATAACGGTAATAAAAAGGTATCTAAGTAAAAAACCTAGTTTACTTGTTTAGCTGAGATATTTTTTATACCGTACGCATTGAGTCCATGTTTAGAGAAAATATTTTCATTCAGCGTTTAAGTGCCAGGATGTAAATGCACGCACTTGGAAAACAAATAAAAGAGAAATAAATTAACTTGATTTCAGTTTAATTCCGTAAATCAACCATTRGTAAACAGTTTGTGTTTATATCTAAGAACCCGATGGGTTAAGGCAGGAAATATCATTAAGTGGCGGAAGGCGAGACTTATTAGATAGAATTTGAAAAAAAAAGTTTCAAATGGCGAAAAACGTGTATTGAGAAATGGCTGATTGATAGTATTTCTTAAAGTCCATTATTGTATTTTTCACGTAAAGCTAAAGGTCACGCAGAACGACGCAGAACAACTTCATTCACAAGAGAGAGAGCCCTGAGGACGAGGTTTAGGAGTGGGGTCTCATATGTAAGCAATAACACGAGCGCGCGCTGTATTGTGGTTGGTTGGGATTCTTCAACTAACTTTAAAGTTTCTTCTGTGTTAGCCTCAAAACCTAGCAACATAGTTTTGTTTCATTGACCGCCTGAGAAAACTCAGAGAATTCGTGAAGATTATTAAATTGATCTGAAATCGCACACTTTACGCTTACAATTAGGAATATTTTAAACACAAATGAGGCTAACACAGGTCATAGCAGGCATAGGAGAATTCGAACGTGAGTATTAACTCAATTACATAAACCAGAGAAATCATCGTCCGTTGTTCACTTGTAATTGAGTCAATTTAAAGTGAAAAAAGTAAAGATTACACAAGTGAAGTTCAATATCAGATAGTAGTGATAAGTAAACCTAGACTTGATGGGATTTTGAGATGAGGAAGACAATGCAACGATCTTGAAACACAGCGAACCCAGACCCCATTAGCATTAATTCAAGTAAGCAACAGCAGAAAAAATAAGCGATGAGGATTTGGGCGCGAATCTTACTTTCCTGAATGTAATTCCCATTCTTGTGAGGAAGAATAATCTAGATTCCAAATACAGTCGCCTCTCTCATCAATCATAGAAAACAAACTCCCGACAAAACACGAATCCTTTTCCTACATTTGAAGTCGACGGGCGGTGAGGTTCACCTGTGATAGCAGGCAAATACTACAGCGTTCTTCACAACTCATTCAGAAAAACATTGGAGGGAAATATTGAGCTAATTAAAACTGAGGTTTTCAAATGATAGATTCAACGACAAAACAGAAATTGCACCTAGTTAAAGCAACTCAAACTCTGACCGGAGAGTAACTTTATCAGTTTATGTCGGTTACTTAAGGATCAATTTACCTTCGCGTAGACAGAGATTAGATTGATAAATTTAATGTAAGACACTTAATACAACTGACAATCGCAAGATCTGGGCCGGCAGAATAAAGCTTTGTACTTTCCGTCATTGATCGGAAACAAGTCGTGCATATCATACACTCTTTAGTTACGAGCGTTTTCCGAAGTTGCTAGTTTAAAAGCCGAGTGAGCACGATTTGAATTCGATCCTATAACGAAAAATCCCGTGCTATTCTAAATAGGTTTAGCACTTTGTTTAGATTACTTTTTACAATGAGAAGAAATRTATATTAATAAGAAAAGACAGTGAAGGGGAGGAGTAAGAGTGATATA